GAGGTGTCAGTCTATCAGGATCTGCTGCCGTCCCTCGCTTTATGACTAGATTCTCAACTTCATAAAGACCAGGGGGACTTACATCGAAACGCTATTTAGGATGAATGGGAATCGTGGGCAACCGAAGAGTAGCTGGAGGCCAGTTGTACTGATCACTAAGGTGTTCTGCCCATCGGTCTAGTCTTCTGGATTGAGAATGGATAATAAGACCATCCTTTTTCGAAATGGTCTCACTCACACTTGAGTTTCTAATACCGGTTTCCTTGATAGCTCTGAACAGCTGTTTACTGTTGCCTATCGCTGCCGCCTGTTCCTTCGCTTTTGCTTTAGACACCCACCACTGTTAACGGTCGTTGCGTAGTCTTATTATCAGCCTGCGCCTAGGCTGACTTCATGTTTCATCATGTTCAGAGCCAGGTGGGATAAGTTTTCGAGCATCCATCAGTTCAGCAGATGCTTTTGAGATCCACGGCTTCATTCTAGCCTTATGGTTTACCTTACTAGAAGATATCACTGCTGTTTCTACAGCCTTTTTGATATCATTCTAAGCTGCCTCCGGATAGGAATCACTTATATGGTCGCCTAACCTTTTTTCTAGTTGTTCCTGAAATCTCTTCATAGCTCTGCTATTATTAGGTAGAACCCTAAGAGGTTTCCTTCGGTGGCTGTTTGCGATGTGATCTATTTGGGTCCAACGTTGAGACGACTTCGGGGGTCGCCAGGTCAAAAAATGTTTTTCCTTATGCTTGAAATTAGTGTTTGCTAGAAATAGTTGGTTATCTGAGCACAGTTGCAACATACGGTCGCCACTATCTATTCTATCAGCCATAACACCATAAGATCCACCTAGGTGTCTTTCATTTTTACTCAGTCTACCTACTTGAGCATTAGTCACCAGCCATTATTACTGCATCAGAGCGCCTAACTGTTTGGAGGATGTCTGAAAGCTTTCTGTAAAACTCATCTTTCACCTCGTCTGAACTGCAGTCAGTGAGAGCGTAGGCAGGTATCCCTATCTTTCCTAGTCCTTACAGTTCCGTTTAGTCGGACAGCGCGCAAGCGACTATCTACTGGCATCCAGTCTAAGGCAGTTAGCTCTGCCCGAGGACCCAAGGCTGTATCTACACCAGCGAGACCTCTGGAAGCAGCATCTGGGCTTCCAGATACACGAAGGGTGAATCGAATTGCTTCTTTATCTTGACATAGTGAGGCCAACTGTATAACGCTACTCGGATCCTATATGCGCGTTTTCGAAGTGCAGCATACGTCGATGGCGTGAGGTTCTTAAGTCCTAGCAAATGAAGCCTGTTGCCCTATTAGACACACTGTCCGTACATTAAAAGTTCCAACATGCAGTCAAGGATGGGGTTTCAGGAGACCAGGAATAATGTTTCGTGAATTCTCATCGTTTGTATTAGCGATGAGGTGTGATAAAGGGATGTGAGGAGAGTTAGTTGTGGAGGTAAGAGAGATATAAGGGGGTGTAGGAAGGATTTGATTATGACCAATTATGACCAATGACTGATACGGGGATAAGGGCGGTTGTCACTTCCCGGTTGCCCACACCGTGGAAGAATGTCTCTTGAGGAACCTGAAAAGGAAGGTAGAGTAGTGATGGTCTTAGAGACTTGAGAGCGTGACCGCAGAGCACAACGGGTAACTGCTTGAGGCCTATCACACACGGCCATTAAATGAGAGGATTTTCGATTACTAGCTCCTCTCTTGAAAGCCCTTAGTGGGCAGCCCTTACCAACGGAGACGGAAATCCGTGAGGTAGGGTGAAGTGTGACATTTTTAGGGCCGACCTTTTCTAACCCTTGCTTCCTTATGAGAAGGCAGCATCGCTGTAGATGCTGTTTGTTCGAGGGAAACACCTTACTGATGTACCACACCTCTGCAGTCAGCAGTACGACTTCGCCCTCAGACCTTGAGTAGCTGCTTTCAGTCTCATCGTTCTCCAATCGACCTTGCTGGCATGGTAGAATCTTCAGGAACATATGCTGCTGCTAATATAGATCGGTTTGGTCATCATGATAGTCAAGCCCGACCACCAAGTCAAGGTAGCATTACGGTTGGGGTACCCGTTGTAGAAACAGTACTAGTGGCAGACAATGAAACAGAATGTCTTCGTTCCATTTCAGATACACAAGTCATGTGCGCATCATTACTATCTTTATCGGATAACACTGTGGACCAGCAATAACCAACAGACACTTTATTCCCATCATCAGCAAAGTAACTATCAATCTGAGAAGAAACAGTCACAGTAAACAACCTTGTGTATCTTCAATCACCTCCATATTTACGACAGGATTCGAAGACGACAGAACACTGGAATATCCATTTGATTCTCCTGACTTTTCACAGCATCCGAACGAGAACGAAGTTTAAGCTTCTTAATCGGAGTAGTATCGTCCACACGTCGTTCCTTCGTATGTTGATGGTTTTCTCTCATTCAGAACACACCTCTTACCTCATATAGCAGTTTTAACTGTATCAGTAAACGAAGCTTTCGAAGACCCTTTGTGTTATGATGAGCAGCTTCCGGGATTCGTATGTGATATCAACTAAACACCCAGACTGGCGTCATCAGAGAAACGGAAGGACTGCCATAAAAAATTTATTTGTTTACCGAATAATATGTACAAATGCTCAGCTATATATTGAAAAAGAGCTCAGTTGTCACTTCTTGAGCGTTAAAAAAACAATTGATTGAATAACACCAAAGCATCAATCACAGCGTCTTTATCATTACATTCTGTTAATCAACGTAATTTCTAACAATATAGTTCTTTGGAATATCCTCTATTCATACTATCACTTGCCCATTTGTTATCTCAATTAACCTGCATAAGTGCAGGTGTACAGTTAGAGTTTAAATACAGAGAAAGAAAGGTCTGAATAATCATACCTTTGTTTTATCCAAAAATTTAACTGCTCAGTGATGACTCAGCTTAAAACAAGAATAACTTCTGCTGTGCTCCTCTCCCTTTTCTCTTTACTTCTGTTTTAGCACCTCATTCTACGCCCTTAATATTAGCCTTGATATTGTCAAAGACTTCGTTGCGTTACCAAGGAGCCTGTCGAATTATTATCTGGCAAATCTCACTAAGAAGGTTATTAGGTATTTGCCTCAACATTTCTTTTTATATAGAGACCTGGATTTAACTTGCATTGATTCATAACCAGAAGTGGTTCGTTGCACAGCAGACAACATAACTTGCGCCAACCATCATATTATAGACTCCGGAGTCTGAAGCATTTACAATTTTATGTGAGAAATTTTGGCACTCTATAGAAAGCTAGTGTATCTTGTGAAATATTTGTCTAACTGAACAACATTTTATAATAAATATGTAAGCAATTCTAACATTTTTATCTTACCTGTAAATTGACATACCTCTTTTAAACGTTATGGATAAATTATTTAATTATCATTATTAGTTAACATCATTGTTACATAGAGTGAAAACTTATATTTTATAGGGCCTTAATGTGCATCCGATGGGTTGTTTGCTATGATATAGGAAGGAAAGGAGGAAGCAGTATAGGCTTTATAACTATTTTCATTTGATTTTTGATCATTATAAACAATGGGAGAGGTATTCAGAGACTGATATGATTAAAGATGAGTGTGAGGTTGATATGTTTGTTCAATATCAACTGACGGTCTCCGTGGAAAAGATGTGGAAATCGTTGTAAGGGAATAATGATGACTCGTTTCGGAGTAGGGATCAAGCCATTGAAGGATTTAACTGTGGATTTTTCAGTAGAACCAAACGTTTTGTTACGAAAGTACGACAAATGCGTACGTAAGCTGAGCGTCATTTGAGCATGAAATGTAAACGTATGACTGATATGCCAGCAAGTTGCAGTGTTTAGTTTCTGAACCTAGATTATTACAGGGCACCTAATAATGTTATTCTACTGTGCCTACATTACAAGTGCTAGACGGAATTTATTAACTTATGTAAACTAATGCTGAAGTTCCACCATTCAATCACTTCCTTTTCCTTCCCACCCCAGTATCCTTGTAACCCTCAAAGGAAATTTAAAATCATGCTAAATATGCAAGTTTAGCAGAATTAGTGAAGCCTCCTCGGTCTATTTTCAACTAATGCACACTTTACCAACATTTATTTTTATCTGGAAGGACTGTGCACCCAAAGTAAGTAGACTTTATTTACTTTTAATAGGAGTTAGCTGTTTCACTGAATGACCTGAAATAGTACCTACCAAGGAAATCTTTTCACAAACGTTAATGTTGATCCTTATGTAAGAATGGACTGGAAGCTTTGGTTAGTCATCTGCAACAATAGTTTGCTTTGGAGGTTAACTAAACATTTCAGTGCTATAAACTTCCAAATATGCGCTAACTACTCATAATCATATTTCGCGGAGGAACAACAACAATTTAAAGAATCATAAAACCTCCACGCTATAAATTAAGTGAAACACTGTAATGGGATGGTTATAACATTTATTCCACCTCTTAAGGAATAAGGGAAACATGTTGGCCTTAAGGAAAACATTACATCCCCGTCATTTGACGTAGAAAAGTGGGAAACATAATGTCGCACAGATAGATATGGTAAAACACTTTCGATTCTCATATCACTGCTCTCATCCCAAGACCAGGTTTCCTGTCTTTACTTCCGTTCAGCAGCCTACTTTGGTTACTTTATCCTACCACTGAGGATAGACAAATTCCTAATCGTTATAATGGAACTTCCTAGTCAAGAGAAATCTAATATTAGATACTTAGCAGTCGAACTTGTTTATGCCATTAGCCTTCAAACCTCAAAGGAAATAAAGAACTAGTTTCTTCTTTACTTCTGAGAATGTTCCATGTTACTTAGATCATAGAGGACATGGATTCCATACAAAATTACTGCAGTGAAGTGGCCGGACATTGAGTATGAAAGACAGTCAGTTAATTAGTTTACCGTTGCACGAATAATTGCGATTTGACATTGAAAGGTTGGGTCATATTTTCCACCCTCGTTCAAACGACTGCGGTGCATCTCTTTTTTGGAAGCAATGTATGCAACAAATAAAATACAAATTTCAACGATGTGTTCGTAAAATATGACCTTTGAACGTATGATGGAATGCGCGTTCAAGGCTGGAGATGTTGTGAAAGCTAATTATACATTTAAGAAGGACAAAAATGAGGATTTACCATTTAACGAAAATGAAACACTAGAAATTATTAATATCGGCAAAGTGAGTTCACATTTGTAAATCAAAAATCGTTATTTTGTTTATTAAGGATCCAAATTGGGCCCACGCGAAGAATGCTGTTGGTGAAACTGGACTCATCCCTCTAAATTACGTTCAGCGTAAGACGGATGTTTTAGAGGACCTCAAAGATCACTGGTAACTAAATTACTTGTGTTTTTAACCGAGAAAAATTTTAATTGTTCTTACGGTCGATAATAGTAGTGGCATATGTGTATTGTTAGCATTTCATTGTTTTCCGAATCCATAAAAGTACTTTTACGGTACTGGAATTCGCACGTATTCCGTTGTTTTAGTATGGTGTTACTCTTAATCAGTTTATCAACAAAAACACTGTTAAGTGCGCCTTTAATATGTAATTCTTCGATACTCACCAAGACATTGCAGGTCTTTGCAACTAGTGTTCTGGCAATGTTCATCTTTTTACATGCTGTCTGAATGATGATGTTTGTATGGTTTTCCTACATAGGTAATAAATATAAAAGTATTAGTCGGAAAACATTCGTACGTGTCTTCAAATCAAGTGTTTGTTTTTCCATTTTCATTCGTAGTTATTCAAAGTTTGTTTGATTGCTTTTGTTCTTGGTTAGTTGACTAGATAGGTCAGTCAGTCAGTCAGATGCAACGTAGAGCTTCGTACGTAAGTACATCAGTTCATGTTGCCATACCACATCAGCACAGAGATATAATTGTCAATTCAAATCCAATAGTAGTAGAGGTAGTAAGGGAATTAGAAGTAATCGGAGAGGTTAGGGTTAGAAGATACTATTGAAGAAGTATGATTCAGTGAGAAAAGTTTAAAGAGTCGAAACTAGAGGTGTTGAACAATCCAGAAGATTAGGGTTTGAGAGAACACAAAGAATAAATGCACCGGCGCCATTGCGAACGATTTTGAGCCATGTCATTCAAGGTCTCTAACCATCGATTATTATCATCTCGCGGACCCCAACCAGGTAGTCGACAATTACCGACATGGCTCAGTCCACTAGTCAATGACTTCATGGATTTCTGCCATGTTTTGGTCTGGCCGCCCCTAGCTTTCTTCCAGCCTACTCCTACACGGATGGAACCTAAAAATAAGACCAAAGGTTTTATGAAACCACTAAACATAATTCTGAATAACCGAAAGCATATATTAAAACAAATCTAAAGCAATTTTTGGAATTATTATTTTCCGTTGACATATAATATTTGCTTAACAGAAACTTCACGAAAGTTTTGCTAAGCAAATAATTCATCCATCATTTATGTTTTTAATATGGCCAAGTCACTGAAAGGACCCATAATGTCCTACAACTCGAATAATTGTCCTATAACTGGATTGATTACGTTTACCTGACTAGGTATCTAGTCTTAAGATCTAGTCTTAAGATGATCCTTTCGTTCAAAACGATTGAAATATTAGTTTGTTTGAAGTTCTTAGGTGTGTACCTACTTGAATGGTTTCGGTTATTAATAACCTCAGCTCTTTAAAAGCAGTATTCGTGCAATAAATATTTTGACTATCATGGTTTTTTTATCTCCAGTATTCGTCATTGCTTGACGCCTAATCTAAAAACCTGCATAAACGCAAAGGAGCAGTAAAAAATATGTACTTGGCGTTATTCTTAACTCATTCTGATTTTATAAAATTCTTTGATGATTTTTTACTAAAGTGAATGGGTTAGATCTTACAGCAATCTATCGACTATAGGAGACATGTTGATATGTGTGCACTAATATTACTTAATCTTAACTTATGTAGGCAGTCTTATTACAGATGTACTAATAGTAAAAATTTAAATCCTACCCTACTTAGTCACTAACTATCTGGTCAATTTAAACGGTATTGTATTTATTTTACAAAACAGGAATTCTAGCCACACCAGTGAAGCAGCGTATGAAGGTTGGAAAAGATCCTGGACATTTTAAATATATTATATTGCAGTATCAGAATAAAGTGCGTAATTATTTACGATGGATATTTTTTGTACAAGACCCCACACACTGAGTATGTAGATAGTGATTGAATTTGGTAAATTCACTAATGTCCATCAAATATGCAGCAAAATTTGCACATGTATTAACTGTCTTCTACACTTATTATACTTAACATCACACTTTAGACCTAAGTGTGGGCTTTAGTGATTTTTAACCATTCATTGTCAATGTCAGTTAATGGCATGTGTTACTCACCCCATGTCCATGGCTTACATGCATTTAAAATATTAGACTGTCAATATGGTGAACCCAACTTTTGATCAAGACGTGAGATTGATCCTCGAAACTTAATTGTCGATTTGGTTCTTGTGCCAAACTACACGTTAAAATTAGTAACCATAGGGCCTCAAACAAAATGAATTCAACTAAACTACGTTGGTACCTAGTTATGTAAAATGTTTAACTCTCTGTTAGTGGAACAAGATAAGGTTCTTTAACTAATGCTAAACACCGATTTCTTATTTTTGTTTAAGTTGGTATCATGGACGAATTTCTCGTGCTGAATCCGAAAGTTTGCTTTCTGGTAGTCCTGTTGGAAGTTTTCTAATACGTGAATCTGATCTGTACAGTGGTGGCTTAACATTATGTGTTGTTGGACCTTCATGTACAGTTGGAAGCGTAGATGTAACTGAACATCAAAATTCTACAATGGCACCTTCAGATTCCGCAACTAATGTTCAGCATTATCGCATAGTTCGTAGACCTTTTAAATCTGCCCATCCCATCCAACATTCCGACTATCCTACACCTTCAATTTGCAGCAAAATCCATTACACATTAGATGAAACTGATTGGTTTCCAAGCCTTTTAGAACTAGTTCAGGTGAGTTTTTTAGTGTATTGATTGAGGTAAATTATATGCTTATGATATTGCTTAGGTTGTGGGTTTTTTTTTCAGAGGATCATTAATGGTAAGTGAATAAAGGGATCGGTTTAAAAAATCAAGTTTTTCTAGTAAATTTAGTAATTCTTCTTGTTTGTTTTGGGCATATAGATTTGTGGCATCATATAAATGTGTTAACGCTTATATTACCATAAGCATTATATGATTGTATTCATTTTACAAATAACAGAAGTTTGAATTCACATGCTATGCATATCATAGGAGAAGTATTATTTGTGTGACACATTGCAGACTGAGTTTAACACATGATATGCGTAATTATTTGAATTGTCAGATGTTATATTCTCGTACAATCTGAAACATCATAATTCACAGTAGAATGATAAATGTAACAAAAATGATTTGAAAACTGAATCTATCCATCCAAACTATTACATATGTATATATATGAAACCATTTAGACATGAATATCTGAAGCTTGTAAACTGAACTGAGCCATGTTTGTAGTAGGTATAGATTACCAGGTTAGAGTAAGCGAGATAATAGTAACCGATGATTAGAGACTTTGAATAAAATGGCTCGAAATCGTTTGCATCCCGTGAACTTTTTTGCTCTTCTAAATTTTCTTCACTGGATTATACTTCTTGAATAATATCTTCGATCCCTAATCTTCTCCATTACCACCGCTAATACTGCTACATCCTCTACTACTATGAGTTTTGAATTGACAATTCAATGTGTGTGTGTGTGCTACTAATGTGGTATTATGGTAACGTGAACTGATTTAGTACGTATGTAAGAGGTTCTACGTTGTAGCTGGCTGACTGACTACTAACTTGTAAACAATCTATCCAAGTTTCCTGAAATTTGAAGGATTACCCATTACTTTATTACTTACGTCATTTTGATATTCTCCGAACTTTCAGAAATACTATGTACAACTTTATAACAAAGGAGACATTTAACCATTGCCATTTTCTACGAGATTTCTCTTTTTCAAACTGAATTCTATGGCACTTGTTTATCCAATAAACTTAAGGTAACTGTTTAGAGATATGGATCATTTATCATAGTATTTGGGTTAATCTGAGCTTAAATACTATGTTGAAACATTAGTTAGGCCTGCTTATAATGACAACTCAATCTATGCGGTGGTTGGGACATGTGTTACGTATGCTTAAGCACTGACTGCCTCGTGGAGCTATGTTCTGCAATGTGAGAATAGGTTGGAACAAAGCTAGGGGCGACCAAACCAAAACATGGCGCAAATGCATGAATTCACTGACAACTGGGTTAAGTCATGTTGGTAGGTGTCGAATACCTAGTTGGAGCCCTCAAGATGATAGTAATCGATGGTTAGAGACCCTGAATGACATGGCTCAAAATCGTTTGCAATGGCACAGGTTCATCCATTCTTTGTGTTCTCTCAAATCCTTATCCTCTAGGTTCTTGGTCACCTTTATTCTAATTTTAAGTTTATTTCACTAGATCCTACTTGTTGAATAATATCTTCGAACCCTAATCTCTGCGATCACTGTTCATAGTTCTACTATCCCTACTACTATGGGATTTGAATTGACAATTGCATCTCTGTGCTAATGTTGTATGGAAACCTGAACTGATGTACGTACATACGAAGTTCTACGTTGTAACTGACTGACAATCTATCTTATCTTCATCACTTATTCCTTGAGATATTGTCATTTCTAAAGAGCTTAGACTAAAAATAGCAAATTTAAAATCAAAAACGGAAGTTTTCCTATTGACTATATTGGAATGTGGTAGCAATAAGGTGTTTCTTACGTAATAGCTACCATCTGAAGCATCGGTGCCTCCTTATCACTTCAAGACAAGTTCGAAAACACTGTCTCTAAAGAAAAGTACATCTCAACTTGGCTGTCCTATGGATTTTAGGTATCAGTTCTAAGTTCGGAAACTGAAACGATTACAAAAAAAACTCATACCTGACTGATTTCATAAAATTAATCAATTATAGACCTTGACATTAACAACTAGTAAAATGCTAATTTTAGAGCTGAAATCTAAGCATCATTATTTCTGTCATACAATGTTCACTATGTTCAATTGGTTTGCCTTTCTTTATACTTTAAAATCTTCTCTTCTCTTTATTTTTTCTTTCAGTTTTATTCACAACCTAAACGTGGATTAGTTTGTGCACTTCTTCATCCAATTCCAGATATGCAAAGAAAACGATTAAACAAATTACAAAAATCTGGTTATCTTATTTTTCGTAAAGAAATTCAATTAGGTGATCGTATTGGACGGGGTGAATTTGGTGGTAAGTGAATTCATACTATGTCTAAAATATTTGTAGGCTATAATACTATAAAGTCAGTCAGTCAGGTACAACGTAGTAATTCGTACGTAACCTGCCTACTATATCAGTTCATATTTCCATAACATCACATTAGTAGCACACACAAAGATTGAATTGTCGATTCAAATCTCATAGTGGTAGAGGTTGTAGCAGTATCATCAGTAATGGAGAAGATTAGGGATCGAAGGTATGATTGAAGAAGTATGTCCCAGTGGAATCAATTTAGAAGGGAAAAAAGGTGATGAGGAATTGAAAAGACTAAGATTTGAGAGAAGACAGTGTGGATGCGCTTGCACCATTGCAGACGATTATGATCTATGTCTTTCAAAGTGTCTAACCATCGACTACTATCATCTCGTGGACTCTAACCAGGTAGTCTACATCTATTAACATGGTTCAGTCCACTTGTCAGGGACTTCATTGATTTGTTCCATGTTTTGGTCTGGCCGCACCTAGCTTTCATCCAATCTATCCCTACACCACAAAACATGGCTCGTCGATGATTTTATTCGGTGGTTGGGCATTCGTAACATGTGAATCAATCACATGAACTGATGAAGTTTCAATACCTCATCTATTGATTTGCCATCCCTATCTAGTACTCGTTTCCTAATAACAGTATTGTTTACGCTTCGAAGACACCAATATTAATAGGCTACGAATATCCTCTACTCTAACTGACCATGCTATATACTATAAATTATTGAATAACTATCTAACAATTCATGCTTATCTGTCTTATATATTGTGACTAGTTGATTTAATCAGCCCGTCGATTACTGTGGTTCGCAAGACAATAGTAACTGATGGTTAGAGACTTTAAATGACATGGCTCGAAATTGTTTGCAATAGCGCAGGTGTATCCATTCTTTGTCTTCTCTCAAATTCTAATCTTCTCAATTCCTCATGACCTTTATCTTTCTGTTTTTTTTAAATTTATTTCACTGATTTGTACTTTTTGAATAATATTTTCGAACTCTAATCTTCTTTATTACTGCTAATACTTTCTACTGTGGGATTTGAATTGACAATTGTATCTCTGTGCAAATGTGGTACAGCAACTTGAACTGATGTACTTACGTACGAACGAAATTCTACGTTGTAACTGACTGATTTCTAGCCCTCTTTATATTGGTTGTTTAAAATGTCAACAATGAAATTGTTTTTTTTTTGTTCAGATTTTTATTTTAATACGCTTTACCATTCAGTCTTATATTCGATACTGAATTCAATTAAAATGGTTACATTCATTTCTTACCCTCGATTCGATTTGTCCATAAAGTATATTGCCAAGTAGTTGAGTCATCGTTGTCGTAGTAGTAGTAGTAGTAGTACACCGATTTTGATGTCCAGCATCGAGTAGCCATTTCTCATCATTGATTTTTTTGTGTCATTAATACATACAGTGTTGAAAAATACTATTTCAAAGGTGTTCTATGCCGCCGCCATTTATCAGTTTTGTTTATTTCAATATACAGATTTTGGTACGAACAGGGGCGGGGGGCTACCGAAATAAATATACTCTCCATTAAGCGAATGAGATTGGGAGCAAGTAGTAATTAAGACAAGTCCATAATAAATAATGAGATAAGCAGTTCAGTGAAAGAAGATACAACCAGGAACAATTTTTTTAGTTAAGGATGCTCCTCTAACGTTTACGTAAAAATTACAAGGAAATTCAAGCTGAACCACCATTAGCTTCTATTCTGATCCATGTTTGATAACATGTCAAGCCGCTGAGCGGCACTATCTCTAGGATATCAATCAAAGAATCTTAAAGGACAGACAGATACAAGTTTTGTACAGCTTTCTTTCATAACCTTTCGTCATGTCACAAACTGACCACCTCTTCATTTTTCCCTCTCGGTCCCAGCCTCGACAATCGATATGGAATTCTCTGGGATGACACTCGTAGAATATGTCCAAGACACTGATGTCGGCGTTGCAAAATGGTGATACCAATTAAATTATCGTCACTGTGCCGGAACACACTTTGCCAAACCTCTGTATCCTTCGAAGACGACGATGATCAAACACAGGGAGTTCCTTAACATCCTCAGCTTGGAGAAGCAAGGTTGCACAAGCATAAGGCAAAGCTGTTCTCACTGACGTTCTTTAACCTGACCTTACAAATCCATACTAACATCATAAAGGCACTAAAATATGGCCCAGATTGTGATAGACCTTGACCAGTGCAATTATTTTGAGATCATCACCATTCCTGACCCCTGGCAAGAGTCTGGCTTTAGCGCAGCGTAGATACGAAACAACAACACTTGGATTTTGTCATCTCAAGGAATCTTTGATGTCGTTAATATGTTCATTATTAGTCTTTCGAAAGGGAAAGCGCACTAAATGACAGTAGTAGTGTTTCGTTCCTCATTAGTTTATTAGTGTAAAACATGTTTCTCTCTTTTTCTCACTCACTCACACACACACTCTTTCTATATATATATATATATATATATATATATATATATATATATTCATTTGTTCGATAGTCACGTTTAGACTTAAGTAACTAATCGGAGCTTGATATCTACTAACTATTGAATCAGTAAGCACAAAAAAGTAGTTGTTAGTGTTTATTCAATGCCAAATAGTCAATTGAAGTTCTCCCTAAGTTTACTTATGATTTGTGTTTGTACATGTGTATTCTGTATGTATTCAACATTGGGCTACATCGTTACCTGAACTAGTGATAGGGAGTGAAGTAGTCGAGCATGTAGACCGCCTCACTTACCTTGGGAGTCTCATCAGTGCTGACTGCCTGGTGACTGACGAAATCTCAGCACGGATACAGAAAGCTCGATTGGCTTTAGCCTACCTGCGTCACCTATGGCGCAGGCAAGATATCCGTTTGCCAACCAAAAGACGAGTCTACTGCGCAGCAGTTCACTCCGTCCTACTATACGGATGCGAAACGTGGCTGGTGAGAATAGAGAACTTTCGTAGGTTATTAGTATTCGATTATTTATGTCTTAGAAGCATTGCTCGTATATCGTGGGACAGCCGAGTAAGCAATGCTGTCGTTAGGAAATGAGTACTAGGTAAGGATGGCAGGTCAATAGATGAGGTAGTGAACCTTCATCAGTTTAGGTGGTTGGGGTATGTGCTACGAACGCCCAACCACCGACTGTTTCAGTGAGCAATGTTTTGTGGTGTAGGAGTGGGTTGGAAGAAATCTAAGGGTGGCCAAACCAAAACATCGCACAAATCCATAAAGTCGTTGATAAATGGACTAAGTCACGCTGGTAGATACTGGCTACCTGGTTGGGGTTCTCGAGACGAACATCACCGATGGTTAGAGACCTGGAACGACATGGCTCAAAATAGCTTGCAATGGCGCAAATGCATTCATTCTTTGTGTTCTCTGAAATCCTAATCTTCTGAATTCCTCATCTCTATCTTTCTCTTTCTAAATTTATCTCACTGAATTTGTACTTCTCGAATCATATCTTCAAACCCTAATCTTCTCTATTATTGCCAATATCTCTACTATCGCTCCCACTATTGGATTTGAACTGACAGTTGAGTGAGTCTCTGTGCTAATGTGGTATGGCAACCTGAACTGATGTATGTGTCTGCGAAGTTCTACGTTGTAACTTACTGACTATTGAAATATTATTGCATTTTATGATGATTTCAGTGTTAATTTATTTCTAAGTTTTTTCTTGTTTTTTTTCTTCTTAACCATTTATAGAAGTTCTTAAAGCTACTTATCATGGTCGACAAGTAGCTGTGAAAATTTATAAAAAGACTGCATCTAAATTGGCTATCACTTATGAAGCATCACTGATGACGTATGTCTATTGTTTCATAAATAAATATTATTATTATTGTTTTAATATTACATAATGTGATTTGTTATCTTTATTTGTGGTGTTTTTTCTTCTGATAAGTCAAAAATTTAATGAATTCTCTACCACTATGGAATTCGAAGTGATAATTGTGTCTCTGTCCTGATGTGCTATGGCAACATGAACTTATGTACGTACGTATGTACGGAGTTCTACATTGTAACTGAATGACTGACTGACTGATATCATGAATTCAACGTTTTTTTTAAAAGTTTTTGTGTTTGCATGTGCAATAAAATCGATTTGAACGTTTTGAGAAACTGTCTAAACTGATTGATTGATATCAAGACGATTTCTGTCATGCGTTAGGTCATGAGTTCGACTCCCGGACACGGAGTTGAGGTACGTATACTTGAAAAGTATTACACGATTGGATGAAGTGGCTATCTAGGGCTTCTAGGTTCTCAATGGTGACAATTCTAGATGCCTAAATTCAATATAAAGATGAACATTCAAGAGAAGAGAATCAAGCCACTATGAAAATGAACATCAGTGTTCGTTCAAAAGATACAAAGGAACTTTTCCAATTAAGAAGTGAATAATTACTTACTTGAATTATTTTTCTTGATTAGCGTTTTCTAACGAGTTAGTTTTCTACGAGATGGGGTCGCTATCCCCATGGCCAACCATTCTCCCTTATCTGGGCTTTGAACTGGCAGTAGCCCTAGAGAGGAGCTCCAGACGGAGTTATGCGAATAATTAATCATTGTTATATGGTTCACAAAATGATCGTCAGTATTAACTGGATAAGACATCAAAACAAAGAAAACAGAAGTCTGAAACAATTATTGCACCCCATTAATTGTACTCAAATTATCTTTGAATATCCCTGGAAAAGATAATTGATTTCATTTATTTTAAGTGAGCTCAAAAGAGGAGGTATCACAACCTTTGGAATATAATTTATCCTACCAGTTTGTTTGGATGCCACAATGACACTTTAATGAAAGTATCAATATCCCATGTGATGATACTGTGAAATTTCAAACCGAAATATCGATCATGTACAGTTCAGTATAGACCTGAACTATGTGAAGACAGCTAGCAAGTTTAGCAATGATATATATTACGATTCATATAGATAATGTACGTCTCCAATGATTAACCAGTCAGTATTCTCTGCTAACTAACTGTTATGCCTGCACGTAAACACGTCAACTTGATATACTTGAACTATTAAGAGTTACCTAGTCGGAAAACGAGAGCAAGGATCGAGGATCCGGCGACACGACATGCTACTCTAATCCGATTATCCCAACCCCCATATTGAGTACAAAAAAGAAAACTTGATATGAAGTAGAACCTGTATTCTACAAGCATCCAGAAAGTGCGAGGTCCGAGTCCAGATGAGAATCGGGATTCCGGACTAGGGATCGGGGACCGGGTCCTGGTCCTGGTCACAAAACGTCACAGATAATGCGTATTTATACATTTTGGTCGAATAGGAAGCAGCATCGAAGTCTGTGACATTGACAGTTACGACGACCAATAGGAAGCAACATTTGAAGTGACATTGATAGTCAGGACAACCAATAAGAAACAACATTGGAGCACGTGACCTTGATATCGAGGACGACCATAAAATTGACCAGTAGGAATTAACCAATAGGAATTGACCAATAATTCTCTTAGGATATCGGATGAATATCCTAACACTAACCATCCAGCCTTTAATTATTTGAAAATTTTTTGAGACTATTGAGCAGTTCTTTGTGTACATCAAAAATTTGCTCACTTTTTCTAATTGAAAGATATCATGTCTTCTTAATTGAGATAAGTGTCGTTATGAATTTGTAGCGTATCCATTGTTCAATGTTGAAGATGTGTGAGATTTGAGGAAGTATTTTTGAGCGTATTTTTTTGTTAGTTTATTTAGTGAGTGATTGTTATTGAGGATTTCGTTACAAGCAGTCACTTTCATTTTGTTTTGGTTATTTTCGTCTGTAAAATTTGAACACACACTAGATCTTCAAATTATGAAGATTTGAGAAGATTTATAGCCGTGAAATCGATGAAATGAAAACAAAACGATAATAGTGTTGTTATAGGTCATGATAGAAATGATATTTACTTTTTATCTTGTACACAGTTCAGGCTTCATTCTATGGATGATAGTATGAGTTTCTGTCGTTTTGATGAGTTGAATATGAAAAAATTCTTCGTAAATTTGAACAAATTGTATAATAAAAACAACTTACAATCAATTTTCTGCTCGATGGAGAGTGATCAGGGTCGCATATTTCATTTATAATTTTTCTGAAATCATGAATCAGTCATTGTTTGACCACCATTAAGAATTTGAAAGCAATGGACGACCGTTTCGTCTTGGTATATGGAACTCAGCAAAGGTTAGGCGTTCGCTCGCAAGACTCGAGGTCCTGGGTTCGAATCCTGAAAGTTGTGGGAGTTGTGGATGCGTATTGTCACTGATGAGTGTCCCATAACAGGATAAAACGACCATCTTTCAATGCTTTCAGGTTTCTAATGGTGATCATCTAACAATGATTGATTGATGGTTTCAATAATTTTTTCAATGTCATTACCCCTAGGTGGTTTGACTTGATAATTTCAGATAAATTGAACATTGGGTAGATTGTTAATGATAAAGATAATAATGGCATTATTTATAGTTTATCCCAATGGCGTAAAATAGTTAAGAAAGTTTTTCTGACATTTTCATGACTCAGTTTAAGTTAGACTAACTCATTCTTGTCACAGCTCACACTGTGTTATCTCATATATACAAATTCAACTGTCTGTCCTTTCTCACTCAAGTTAATTTAAGTCAAGTCAGCTACAACGTAGAACTTGATACGTACTTACGTACGTACATCATCAGTTCAGGTTGCCATACGACATTAACACACAAAGAGAGATCTAATTGTCGATTCAAATCCAATAGCAGTGAAGGTAGTAGAATTATTAGCAGTAATAGGGAAGATTAGGGTTTGAAGATTTTGATTCAAGAAGTATAATCCTGTGAAATAAATTTAGAAAGAGAAAGATTTTCTTCTTTTTTTTCACACCCGCTAACATAGATCTCATTTATTAAATTATCTTGATCGGAGTGACATGACCATTGAGTCGGTCAGATTCGGTCATTTTTTGATTGATTTCATTAAATATTTTTATTTTGTCTGTTTGTACTTCGGTTTGGTTGAATTCCTGTATGTATATTCTCTGAAGAAAACTGGCTTACCTACGCTAAGTCACAAAATGACAGAAAAAAACTTTAAAATTTTCTACTGTTTGGCAGATATATTGTGAATATGATGAAAAGAAATATTTGCTTTGTAGTGACTCCACATAAAATTGAGTTCGCTCATATTTAATTTGATTAAGCCTTTCGATTAACTTATGTAACCATGCTATTTGTATAGCAATAACCTATATGTACCATTGGTATTTTTTATTATCTGGTTTGTATGAGCTTGTACGACTGAGCATGGCTTACGCCTACGCGCTTACTCATCCTTTTCGCTTTAATGTTAATCTCCTAATATCCCCATGACCTCACATGACTTGTCTCGCTTACTTTTAACCTTGTCAATTATTCGTCGCTTTTATTCATGTGCTTGCATGCCTATTTCGCTTGTCATATGTCTGTCTGACTACATATTCTTAGTCATGCTCTATCTCTTAGGGGGTTGGCTCATTAGCCTTCTCCAACGCGCTTCACCTATTCATCCGCTTCCTTCGCCCATTCGTTCGCATTCTAATCCAAGTAGTTGGCCTTCTCCAGTTAACGTCGCTTCATTCGTCTTTTTCGCTGCTTCTCCGCTTCGCTTTGTGGTGTGTCAAAAATAAACGTATTCAACACTTTGTGTTCACCTTCTGATTTATAAACCGTCAGACGCTATTTAGTAACGATAGTCTGGACGAGCTAATTACCGAGCTTGAGAACACGCAGTAAATCGACACACTACAAATGGTGATCCCGACGTCAACAAAATCGGCCACCACAACAGCCTATTAGTTTTTGACGGCTACCGTTTTCACTTATAATAATAATTTAAAATAGATATTACTTACTCACTTACGCCTGCTACTCTCAATGAACCATAGGCCACCGATCAGTATTCTCGAACCTACTCTGTCCTGGGCTTCCCTTTCCAGTTATTTCCAATTTTTGTTCATGCTTCTCATGTCTGTCTACATTTCTGGACGTAATGTGTTCCCTGGCCTTACTCTTTTCTTTTCACCTTGAAGGTTCCAGGTGAAGGCTTGTCTTGTGACGCGAATAAGTGCTTTTCGCAGCGTGTGTCCTATCCACTTCCAACGCTTCTTCTTGATTCCTTCCTCCACTAGAATCTAGTTTGTTCTCTCCCACAGTAGGTTGTCGGTGATAGTGTCTAACCGACGGATCCGAAGTATTTTGCACAGACAACTAACTGTTAAGAAATACTTGTATCTTCTGAATAATGGTTAAAATAGATATATTTATGCATATTTTTCTCTCTTCTTACCTATTCTTCTTATCCTTTCTTTTCTCAACATTATTTAGAAAAATAAATCATCCTAATTTAGTGTCCTTTATTGGTTTAGTATATGAACCAGACGATGCAGTGTATTTAGTTACAGAATATTTATCCAATGGTAGTCTGTTGACTTATTTACACTCACGTACACGTGATGAAATTACTGAATTGACAAAATTAAAATTCAGCACGTAAGTTTTTATTATTATTATTATCATTATTATTATTGGTTTTAATCGTATAATATAGAGTGACCCACGATCTGACTCCAATATTTATGAACATATATCATACTCAGTGGATATTGAGTCAAGCCGAGTCAGGATTCATAGATCATTCCCACTACTATCTGGATGAAGTAGCTTTTTAGTCATCATTAAACATAGCTTCTAATAGAAAGATTAGTGCAAACATGCAGTCAAAGGTATGAGTAATTACTTCTCAGTTGTCTATATATATGGGATAGCGAGGTCACAGTGCTTGGGATCGATTGCATGCAAGCTTTCTGGATTAGTTAACTCAATATGTTAAAGGTCAAATGACATCTGCTTGAAATCGTATCACTGACGGTGGGAAACTATGGAGCAAAGTGAAGTGCATCATATTTTAGGACCGACTTCTACCTTTCGTTGTAGGAATTCAGCCTCGCTACAGATGCTGGTTATCTCGGTAAAACAGTTTAGCTGTAATCACATTCCAAGTTCATTCAGTTGTATAACTTTTTCCTCTAACTCTGAGTTTGTTGCTTTTAGTTTTACCTCCCTCTCCTATCTATGAATCCAGTCCATCATGGTAAGACCTAATTGAACGAGTTATCCAATCAATATAACTCTATTTGATTATTACGCTAATATACGAGCCTGAATATCATTTCGGGGTGGGAGATTTAATCAGGCTTTCATCATATCGATTTTCTTTGGTTAACATCGTAACGTAGTCAAACTGTCCTTTCGCAGCATTGTAATAAAAATTGTTGGAGCTTAATTCAATGCACCATTGTTCTTAAGAATGAATAACTACGTTCCAAGAGAACGAAAGAAAGTCCATCATAATCATCCACCTGAGCTAAAATTTTTCTCCACCATCTAATGAATAATTACAGCCAAAGATTTGTAATTTTTTTTGAATATGAGGTAAATAAAATAGATTGTTTGAAATGCCATGTTTGGAAAACGCCACAAGAGCCGTTCCTGACCGTAGATGCTACCTTGACGCGGTGCTGCTCGGGCTTACCTATCATGATGACCTAACCGAACTATATTGGCTGGAGAGTAGTATGACTAAAAGCAGCAACTCAAGCAAAGTCTGAGGGCGAAGTCGTACTTCTAATTGTAGAGAAATGTGGCATCCGTAAGATGTTTCCATCGGACAACTAGCACGTGCAGTGATTCTGCCTTCTCACAATCAAAGGAAGGGGTTAGAAAAGATCGAACCTGATTACCGCCTCAAACCAGCAGCTAGAGTCACTTACTATATTTAAATGTATATGTTTATACACATAATCAGTAAACTTTTACGAAGATCTTCCTTATTCATTGTGACCAGTCACGAGGTAGGAAGTATACAGTTATAATTAATATGTCTACATAAATTAGTACAGAAAATATAATGTCAATTGCTCTGATACACACAATTCGATGTTCGATATTAATGTTTTTAAGAAAATGCTTAAAATAACATAATTATTGGTCTTTTAGAGTAGTGTACTAGTAACCATGACGACAACATACAATCAAAAACTCCTGTTGATGTTGTCCAGTTTGTATTCATGCGAATTTTATATGATTTAAAACACTTGTTTGTTTATTTATTTATTTAAAAAAACAAGTTTCTAAGGTTTGGTGATTTCTTTTCTCTACTACTTTACAGTGATGTTTGTCGTGGTCTAGTCTATCTTGAAGAACGTGATTTCATTCATCGTGATATAGCGGCTAGAAATGTCTTATTATCTGGAAAAATGCCTAATTTAATTGCTAAAGTTGCAGATTTCGGTATGGCTAGAGATTTACACGATTTATCAAGTTTTTCCGGTGTTCTGTCGCATCAACCATTATCAAATAAATTGAATACAACACCAACATTAGTAATTAGCAGTAATTCGCCAACAAGTGATCATAGTGTTGATAAATATTCAAAAACTAATCATCATCATCATCATCATCATGAAACTCATTGTCAATCAAATGAGCCAGTTGATGATAATGATGATGATGATAATTTAACATCTCCTCCATCATTAAATCCAATGGTATTACATGATAATGCAGCAATCCCATTGAAATGGACAGCTCCTGAAGCGGTGCGCGATCGAGTAAGAATAAATATAGTTTGTCATGTTTGATGGTAAAGTTGAGATTGATCGTTTTTTTTTGGAGTTGATGGGAAGGTAGGTAGGTAGGTAAGTAGGTCCTTTATGAGGTGTGCATTGACAATTTTTTCTTGTAGCTGGCTGGTTTTCGATTATAAGTGTCTTTGAAGCATTACTTGTATATCCTGGGACAGCCGAGTAAGTAGTGCTGTAGTTAGGAAACGATTACTAGATAGGGATGGTAGATCAATAGATGAAGTATTAAAACTTCATCAGTTGAGGTGGTTGGGACATGTGAAGCCCTTCTGAGGTTAATATTGGTCCCACGTTCATATAAAAGAGAAGGGTTGGGCATGGGGTTAGTGACCTCATACCGTAGAAAATCATTACGCTACAAAAACGCTAACCAGAAAATATAATGCTAGTGGGTGGCCTATGCTCTATTAAGAGTAACCGATGTAAGTAGGTAAGTAAGGTAAGTAACAGTTTAAATTAAGTAACACTCGTTTGCATGGTGTATCTTAAATGTCAAAGGAACTGTTACTTTCTGTAGTATTTGAACTAGCGTAGGACCTTGGTCAAACAGAGTTTCTTCTTGTTGACTGACTACCTCCAGTCCATATACAACTTTTCAACATAATACAGTAAGTCAGTCATCTGGTACGTATACATTGCTTCATGTTGTTGCATTACACTAAAAGCTAGATAAAAAAATATTTTTTTCATGAAATATCCCACATTAGTAAAAGCATCAGTAGTATTAGTAGTAGCAAAAAGAAAGATTAGGTAACGAAAAAGAGCAAAGATGCCTTAGGAGATTTAAAGACTTTGGTTTATAATGAAAGACGAAGAGTGAATACACTTACACCGTTAAAAAGGGTTCTGAAAATCATACCACTCAAAGTCTCCAAACATCGATTATGATATTTACGTGTGATGTCAAGTTACTTAGACTTGAGTGATGGAATTTAATCAGCATTAAGGAACTAAACAAATATAATATTTTTTCAATTAGTCTTATGAAGATTAGTGTTTTTACACATTGAAATCACTAGTCAATCATTGTCCGACCACCTTTAGAAACCTTGGACCACTGGATAGCCTTTTCGTCCTGTTATGAGACTCACCAACAGTGCGCACCCACTACTCCTGCTACTCGCAGGATTCGAACCCGTGACCTGCGGTCTTGCGCGCGAACGCCTAACTTCTGACTAGCTTCGTTAGGGAATCCTCAGAGTTCTAGTGAGAAGACGTGACCAGTGGAGTTCAACCCTGTCATTTATAGGCAGTAATTACCGAAGACAAATGGATGCGTTCGCGCAAAATCTGTAGATTGATCAAAGTTAGACAGTAACACCGTCAGATACCGACCCAGTGGTCCAGGGGTTAGCTGTTCGCGCGCAAGACCGACGGTCCTGTATCCGAATCCTGCGAGGTGCAGGAGTCATGGATGCCCACTGCTGATGGTTCCCATACCAGGACGAAACGGCCGTCCAATGCTTCCAGGTTTGTATTCATTAGCCTAACGTTGGTGATTTCATGATTACAATGAAACACTGAAATTCTAGATTTGTTTAATGACAGTGTCTCTTAAATGAGTGTGTGTGTGTGTGTAGGGGGGTCAGTGTATAGCTGTTAATACTGAAAACAAACCGACTGTGTTTACTAATTAAATTTGACTAATCTAATGTTTATTTATTTGTTTATTCTGCTTGCTTGAACTTGAAAAACACAAACAAAACAAAACACAGCTGTTTACAACAAAATCTGATGTTTGGAGTTATGGTATTCTATTATGGGAGATTTATTCGTATGGACGTATACCATATCCACGAATGGTAAGTTAAAATTAATTTCATTGTAAAATTTATCAGTTGAGTATTTTGATCAAAATAGTTAGACAGTAGACAATGAAATGATTCAAAGAGAACAGAAGAAGTGAATGCTAATTGTGTATGCAGTAGAGCTAGTAGCAGTATTAGCGGTAATGTAGAAGATTAGGGTTTGAAGGTATGATTGGATCAGTATATCCTAATGAAATAAATTTAAAAAGAGAAAAAAACAGTCATGAAGAGTTCAGGAGATCAGAATTTGAGAGAAGACAATGAGTGGATGCACCTGCGCCATTGCAAACGATTTTGAGCCATGTCATTCAAAGTCTCTAACCATCGGTTACTATCCTTTCGCGGACTCCGACCGGATAGCTTACACCAGTTGTCAATGACTTCATGGATTTGTCAATGACTTCATGGTTTGGTCGTCCGTCGCTGTGTTCTAGCCTAGCTCTACACCCCAGAATATCGCTCGCCTTACTTGGACAAACCATTCTAATGAGATAAATATGTATTGGCTATTGGAACAAAGGATAGGTTCGCTGTATACCAGTAAACGATGAAAATCTGGAGATATAAGAAATGACACTTGTTCAAAAACATATCTCCGATAGTTAGTTGGAATGCGATTGGTTTGAGTTTATGCTTGAGCGGGATAGTAGAGACGTTTAGTAATGCATCAAGTAATAACTGTATCGTTCTAACCAGAGATAAGTTGCCTCCTTTCTTCTTCAACTGCAATTATCGAGTTCTCACCAATCGCTCAATTAAATCTCTTCTAAACGCTAAACTTGACCATTCACGTTCATAGTTAACACCGACACCCTGCTAACAACGATTTATTTCGTTAGATTTAACTAGGTCTCATGTAATGAGGCCATAATGATAGGGAAGCAATTGTATAATTCTCTCTCCAGTCCGATTATTGATTATTTTACTTGTATTGTCAATAGGACAGGTGACCTACTTACTTATTGACACATGGACAAATGAAGAACAGTTAAAATATTAACGCTTATTACTTGTTGAGCTCTTTCTAACCCATTGATCAATCAGAAGACAAAGGTTGAAAGATCAATTCTCTAATGTACTCAATCCAATTATAACTCAAAACGTGAAGTAAACTCTTGAACCACACATCAGCATAATTAAGAAGATACAATAATGAACTAACTAAATTATATAGGTGCACAATAAATAACTACACAGTAACTTGAAAAAAATCTATAACATGTAACAGTAGTTTATACATTAAAACAAAAAGCACTTACTAGCAGGATAATGTAAAATTACACTAGTTTAAGTATATATTTAATCAATTATTCAATAAAAGTTCAGTTTTTTCATTATCGATTTATGGAGATTGTTAATTTGCATTGAAATAATGAATCGATCATTGTTAGACCACTATTAGAAACCTTGAAGAACTGGACGTTTCTTTTGATCCTAATATGAGACTCGTCAACATTGCACACTCATGAACCCCGCCCGCGGGAATCGAACCTGAACGCTTAGCGTCTAGACCACTGAGTTGGCACCAAACAACGTTGATGTCTAATCTTAATCAATTCGAGTTATCACGCGACCTTACCCATTGTCTTCTCTGATTACTGCTTGCAGCCGACATGGTTAAACCCCACTGGTCAGGGCTTCTTACTAGAACTCCGAGAATTTCCTCACCCACCGATTACTATAATCTCGTGGACCCCAACCAGGTAGTCGACACCTACCAACATGACTCAGTCCACTTGTCATGACTTGACTTCATGAATTTCTGCGATGTTTTGGTTTGGCCACCCCTAGCTTTCGTCCAACCTATTCCTACGCCGCAAAATATAGCTTAACAAGGCAGTCGGTGGTTAGGCAGACGCAGCACTCAGTGGGCACCCTTACCACTGGAGACGGAAATTCGTGAGGTAGGATGAGGTGTGGCATTTTTAGGGTCGACCTTTTCTAACCTCTTCCTTCCTTGTGAGAAGGCAGCATCGCTGCAGATGCTGGTTAACCGAGATTGAAGGTCCTGGTTTCGATTAACTTGAACGGGGGTGGTTGCTCTGCACTTCTGATGAATCCCATACTAGGACGAATCGACCTTTCAGTACTAACGGGTTTCTAATGGTGGTCTATCAATGTTCAATTCATTATTTTAATAAAATTCAGTTAGAAAACAATTTATACTTTTCTTAATATTCATCATCCCATCATATTATTAGTTTCGTATTACTATCATTACTACTATGATTATTTCAAGGTATCCTTTAATTTATCTTGTATCATATGTGACTTAGCAATGGTTTGACTAAAATCTGTATAAATCATACCAGAGTTTCTAATGATGATGTTATTATCATCATTGTCTGTCAGTCAGTCAGTCAATTACAACGCAGAACTTCGTACTGAAGTACGTAAGTTCATGTTGCCATACCACATTAGCACGGAGACGCAATTTTCAGTTCAAATCCTATAGTGGTAGAGATAGTAGTAGTGTTAGCGGTAAAGGAGAAGATTAGGATTTGAAGGTATGATTCAAGAAGTATAATTCAGTGAGATAAATTTAAAAATAGAAAGATAGATGTGATAAGGTGAGAGAACGCACCGACTGGATGCACCTGAGCCATTACAAACGATCATGAGCCATGTCATTCAAGGTCTCTAATCATCGGTGACTTACGTCTCGTGGATCCCAACCAGGTAGCCTACATCTACATCTAGCCTACATCCATTACTTGTCAATGACTTCATGGATTTGTACCATATTTTGGTTTGGCATTATTATTATTATTATTGTTATTGAATAATTCCAATTAAAATTATACTGTTTATCCCTTAATAATCTAGCATAAATCACTTTAGTACCACTACTACTATTACTACTACCACTACTACTAATAATAATAATGAATTTTTTTTTACTATCAGATGGCTAATCAAGTATTACGTCATATTGAATCTGGTTATCGAATGAAATCACCGGAAGATTGTCCATCAACAATCTATTCTTTAATGTTACGTACATGGCATAGTGAACCAAGTAATAGACCAAGTTTTGTAGAAATATTAAAAGAACTTATTCAATTGCGTAATAATAATAATAATAATAATAATAATAATAATAAATCATTATCTCCATCTATCCCTTCCATTGTTGCATCAACAACTCACATTCATCCAATGTCTATCATGAATAATATTAATAAATCATTTCCTATTGACTGTGATAATTCAACTCCATGGGATTTACATAGAAATAATCCAATAAAAACTGTGACAAATAATACTCACAATAATAATAATAATGATAATAATAATAATCTGACAACATATAATAAACAATCGGATAGTCATGAAAATCGATCAATAATGAAAAAAAATCAGTCCACTGATTTAACATTAACTCGTCATAAAAGTATTCAACGACCGAAAACATTAGCTGATTTGGTAAGTTAGTTAGTTGTATGTACTCACTCCTCCTCCTCCTCCTCCTCCTATTACACTTTTAATGCATACATTGTTGTTGTCGTTGGTTTGTTTTGAAGGTTTATTGATTAGGCGTAGATAACTTGGAAACCCTATTTGATATTTGATATTTTTCAACAATATACTCTTCCTAGTGGACAGTTACATATACAAGCGCCATTGTATTAAAATTCTATACAGTTTACATTGAAAATTATTTAGAAAATTTAACATACTTTATGTTAGGATATTCATGCAATATCCTAAGAGAATTATTTGTATGTCTAATTGAATTGATCAATTCCTATTGGTTAATTCTTACTGGTTCATATTATGGTCGTCCTAGCTGTCAATGTCACGTACTTCAATGTTGTTTCCCATTGGTCGTTCTGACTATCAATGTTGTTTCCTTTTCTATTCGACCTAACTGTATAAATACGCCTTATCTGTCACGTTTTATGACCCGGACCCGGATCCTTAATCTGGGATTCTTGCTTTCTTCTGGATTCGGACGTCCTACTTTCTGGATGCTTGTAGAATACATGTTCTACTTCATATCAAGTCTGAACTGATGTACTTACGTACGAAGTTCTGCGTTGTATCTGTCTGTCTGTCTGTCAAGTCTTCTTATTTTACTCAATGGGGGTTTGGGACAATCGGATTAGAGTAGCCTGTCGTGTCGCCGGATCCTCGATCCTCGCTCTCGCTTACCGACTAAGGTAAACTCGTAATAATTCAAGCATATCAAATTGATGTGTTCACGTGCATGCGTAACACTTTACGAAGTAAAGTAAATTATGTATTACAAGTGAATATTGATAGCTGCTATATATATATATTTATTATTGAAATCATGAATCAACGATTGTTAGACCGGCAGCATTAGAAAACTGGAAGCACTGGACAGCCGTTTCGTCCTGATAGGGGATTCATCAGCAGTGTGCATCCACGACTCCTGCTACTCGAAGGAATCAAACCTCGCACCTCCGGTCTTGTGCGCGAACGCCTAGCTGCTAGACCACTCATGTCTAACTGTGATCAATCTAAGGATTTTCGTGCAACCTCATCCATTTTCTTCGGTAGGTAACTACTGCCTACATCTGACAGGGTTGAACTCAACCAGTCACATCCCAAATATGTATTTATTTTATTCTTTTTTTTGTTACAGAACTAAAAATAGTTTAATTGTGATATAATCAAATGGGTTGTGAAAAAAAACAGTCTTGTTTGTAAAGCTGTGAAGCTTTAAAGAGGTTCTAGGTTAAGACACCTCGCTTATCCCTAAATTGATTACTATCTTCAGATTAATTAGTTGGCTCACAATGACTTGAAACATAACTGTATCATCATATTATGTTCTAACAAATGTTCATATACGTACAAAGTAAGTAAAGATTGATTTACTAGTAAAAATAGGATACTTAGTAGAGAGTCAGTGAAGTATACTATTCTTGATGAAAATATCTTTGATTCAAAATTGTGAGAAAAAAAAACTGAGCCTACGTATAAAAAATAATTGACCAAATCTGATTGATGTTAACCGATTCCCTAAGCTTTCAATCATCAAATATGAGGTTATAAATATGTTGCTTGACATTTATTTACAAGTCATAAACTAAACTGGAATACTTTTCTTAGATCATACATAATACATTATACTTGTGTTTCAAATGATGAACACAACAATTGTTGCTTAAATGTCAATCAAATTACCTTCCTAGTTTTTTTTATTCAAATCAAGTATTTTGATAAGCTTTTTGATTAGTTCAAAGAGAAATTTGTTCTAGTGTTTTTTATTTTCTGCCTTGAATGTCGTGTACATGTGTGAATATTCCTGTTGATTGATGCTCGTAAAGTACATGCGAAAAAAAAATTAATTTTGAATAAATGAACAAAGTTAACTTTTATTTTTTTTTTACTAGAATAAAATAGAAAGCGCTACATTAGAAAATTTATTCAAAAAACTAGTAACTTAAAGCCGTATGCAGTACACAAGTATTGTTATGTTCTTGATCTATCCGCGCTTAATGTACAAAGGGGAATTCAACAAATTGTACGTGGTAGGTCACTTAGTTCCAACCTTTAGGCTTGAAATCTGTCAATTAGATTGTAAATAAACAATCTTGCGGGCATATAGGATAGTACTATTTTATCACTGACTGTATACATTCGTGAGTATTTGTACATATGATTCGGTAGCTAAATAGATTTCCGTTTCTGCTCTTGCCTTCTCTCTCAAGTCACCAGTTTGAGTGGTTAACACGTTTTCGTGATCTCAGATGTGAGACACCGCACCTCATAACACTTACAATCTGATAGGTTGGTTAGCAGAGTGTGAGAAAATAATTTAACTGGAACAGTTATCCAACCTATTCATAATTTAAATCGACTTGTTAGTGGGACATAGATTGGATTAAAGCGTGTTCCACGCACGACTGCATTGTTGCACGCTGATTGGCTCTTTTCGTACCTAATAAGCGCCAGTCGATACTGGTGGAACACTCTAGAATCTTCTCATGTAAAAAAACTATAATTATAATAACTTTTTGGACTTCTCTGTCTTCCATCTAACCTTGTTATTGGAAAATAATCTCTATTTCCTGTTCAACAGTGTTCTGATTTGGGAGAACGTCTCGAATGAATTGGTGTCCGAGAATACTAAGCATTAAGAATAGCTGGATTGTAATAAAAGAGGGCATTATAACACAACTCAAAAAGGTACATAAATGTGACAACGATTTATTGATTACACGAAAACTTATAATTTATCGAATAAAGCAGTCATAAGACTAGATATTAATACTTGATAGACTTTTCAGTCAGTCGATTATAACATTTAGAATTTGATACATATGTAAATTAGTTCAAGTTGCCATACCACATTAGCACACACACACACAGAGAGACAGATGGAATTGTCAATTCAACTTCCATAGTAGTAGTAGAGGTAGTATAGCAGTATTAACGGTAATAGAAAAGATTAGGGATCAAAGGTATGATTCGAGGTAAAAATATAAACCAGTGAAATAAATGTACAAGGCAATCATGTAGAATTTAGAAGATTAGAATTTGTGGAAAGACAAAAGACGAATGCATCTGTACCATTCCAAATGAATTTGAACTTTTATTTAATGTCTCTAACCATTTGTCACGATAATCCACAGGGACCCCAACCAAGTAGTCTTAACCTACTAAAGTGACTTCTTGGATTGGTGGCGTGTTTTAATGTGACCGTCTTAAATACTTCTTCCAACTAAATCCTATTCAAGATAGCATCACTCATTGAGAGGTAAGCCGTGCATTGAGAAAACGTAATTCATGTCCTCCTAACCACCGCCATACTACTTATGTTTACATTGTTCGAAATCATGAATCGATCAATGTTAGACTACCATTAGAAACCTGGAAGCACTAGACGGCCGTTTCGTCCTGGTATGGAATGTGTACTGCTCATGAGTCTCATACTAGGACGAAACGGCCATCCAGTGCTTCTAGGTTTCTAATGGTTTTCTAATAATGATCGACTCATTATTTCAATAAGTAACTCAACAATCTCTCCAGTAAGACGTAGTGATCGGTGGATTTCAACCCTGTTCAAATGTGAATCAGTGATCACCGAACAAAGTGGATGAGGTTGCGCAAGATCGTGGATTCATCAAAGTTAGACATTAGCACCATCAGATGCCGGCTCAGTGGTCCAGTGATGAGTGACTAGGCGTTCGTGCGCAAAGACGAAGGTCCTGGGTATCCTGCGAGTATCAAGGGACATGGATGCGCAATGCCACTGATGAGTCCCATACCAGGACATGACGACCATCCAGTGATTCCAAGTTTCTTAAAGTGGTCTAACAATGATCGACTTATGATTTCAAAAAAAAAACAATTCAGTCATCTCCACAACCTCCTTTCTTTATGCAATTTTACGTATTTTTTTTTCTCTGTTACATTTTACAGATAACTGAACCATTGTATAATAATAATAATAGTAATAATAATAACGAATTAAATGGACCATTTTATTCTCGTCAGCATAAATCACCGAATCGAACTATTTCAACAATGAGTCGTTCATTTATATCCACTTTAAAAACAACATCTAATCATAAACCTGCAACATGTTGTACTACACCCAATGAATCATGTCATAAATTCACAAAATGAATCAACAGATTAATTCAATCCCATTTATTGATTATTTTCAACGTTTCATTTCTACTCTACTCTTCTGTTCATTTTTTTTTATGTTGCTGCTTCTTCTTCTTCTTCTACCTCTACCTCTTGTATCAATTAGTCGATGTAATTTTTGATGAATATTCGAATGCGCCTCCTTCTTTGTTGTTGTGTACAATTATGTTATTATAAAATTATGATTATCATTATTATTTTCCGGTTTTGTTTCCGCTTATGTTATGGTGTTTTTGTTATATAATTAGACATTGTCTTTATTATCATTATTATTATTATTATTACCAATTCTAAGTCTACTCATGCTTAGACTATACTGTATTATATATATATATATATATATATTCATATACATACGTACCTACATACACACATACATACAGGTTTTGTATATGTTGACCATGTCAACAGAAAAAGAGAGAGAGGAGTTATCTTATTTTAACTTCAACGTTGAGTCTTGCAGTTTGATTTTTTTTTGTTTTCTGATTTTATTTGTTTTCTATCATTATACAGTGTGAGAAAGTGTTGATTTCAATTAATTTAACATAGAGTAAGTAGTATGTGGTGATATATAATACACATGTATAATGATGATATTAAACTTAAACTTATTTACTTCCGATGGAGCATAGGCAATGAGCCAGAGAGGATGCTCTCTAGAGTTACTGCTGGTCATCTCAAGGCCGGAAAAAAGGAGTAGGATTGGGCATGGGGTAAGTAACCCGATCCCGTAAAAAAGTAACTTCGCGCCATGTTTTGGTCTGGCCACCTCTACTTTTCTTCAAGCCTATTACATCAAAAAACATCGCATTCGTTGGTTGGGCATACGTAACGCATGTCCCAACCACCTCAACTGAAGATTCACTACTTCATCTATTGACCTGACATTCTTATCCATTTTTATAAATCCGGCACTGCTTGCTCGGTGATCCCAGGATATACGTGCCATGGTTCTAGAACACATGAATGCTAGTAACCTACGAATGTCTTCTACTCTAACTGGCCATGTTTCACACCCATATAGTAGGACAGAGCGAACTGCCGCGCAGTAGACTCGTCTTTTGATTGCAGATAGATATCTATTCCATAAGTGACGCAAGTTGGCAATAGCCAGTCGAGCCTTCTGCATCCGTGCCGCGATTTCATCAGACATCTGTCTGTCAACATTGATACGACTCCTGGGATAAGTGAGGCGGTCTGTACGCCCAACTACGTCACTCATTGGAAAGCATTTCGTAAAATTCATTCTCTATGTCATCTGAGCTGCAATCAGTGGGAGTGTAGGTAGAGACAGCGAACAGTATTCCTATCATGTCGAGTTTATTTGGGTGGCGCTCAAGCGACTCTCTACTGAAATCCAGTCTCAGATGCAGCACACATTACTGGCACGAGGTTGTAGAACTCTAGCTAAGGAAGCCTGCTGTTCCTTTTGACACAAGGTTCGAGCATTAAAAGCCTAGACATGCAGTTTAGAGAGAGGTTTCAGGTCAGGAATAAGGTTTCGTAGAGAAAATTTGGAGCTCCGGTTGGTGATTCTTTTGTCGTGTACCCAAATCGTAAGCAGCAGCGGTGCGAGGTTATAGATATATGCTAGAAGGGTTAATCTTGGAGATAAGGTTGGAAGTATTTCTTCTTGAGGCACCCGAAAAGGAAATAGTATTGGCGTTAGCCTTAGCGACCTGAAAGCGTGACCACAAAGACCAAGGGACAACTGCTTGAACCTCTTACGTACAGCTTTTTAATGACAAGTTTTAGTGTTTGATCCACTCTTCGAAAGGCCTTACCATCGGTGACAGAAACACCTAACCGGCATCACATTCACCTACAGTTAGCAGTACGACTTCCCCAAGTCAATAAGTTGCTGATTTTAGCCTTACTGTTCTACGTTTAAGCTGCCCAGTACTTAAATAAACATGTTATAGCCAATGTATCTCGGTCGGGTCATTACGATAAGGAAGCCCGACCATTACGCAGCTATGGTTGGAAGCAGGTGTTGTAGCGCTTTCTAAATATGGCACTATAAATATAATTTATTTACTTCATATTGAAAAAATTAGAAATGTACGTTTGCAATTATTCATTCTTAAGAACAGTGGTTTATTGAATTAGGCTCCAACAATTTTTATTACAATGCTGCGAAAGGACAGTTTGACTACGTTACGATGTTAACCAAAGAAAATCAATATGATGAAAGCCTAATTTAATATGCCATCCCAAAATGATATTCAGAATCGTATATTAGCGTGATAATCAAATTGAGTTATATTGATTGGATAACTCGTTTAATTAGGTCTTAACATGATGGACTAGATTCATAGATAGGAGAGGGAGGTAAGACTAGAAGCAGCAAACTCATAGTTAAAGGAAAAAGTTATACAACCGAATGAACTGGGAATGTGATTACACAGTTAAGGTGTTTTACCGAGATAACCAACAATTGTAGTGATGTTGCATTCCTACAACGAAAGGAACAAGTCGGTCCTAAAATATGACGTACATCACTTTGCTCCGTAGTTTCCCACCGTCAGTGTTAAGATTTAAAGCAGATGTCATTTGAACTTTAATATATGGAGTTAACTAATACAGAAAGCTGGCATATAATCGATTACAAGTAGTGTGCCCTTAGTCACCATGATCTCGCTATCACAGGTATAGATATCTGAGGAGTAACTACTCTTCTCATACCTTGTACTGCATGCTTGCACTTAGTAAGTCAGTCACAACGTAGAACTTTGTACATGAGTTCAGGTTTCCATACCGCATCAGCACAGAGACCCAATTGTCAGTTCAAATCCAGTAGAAGTATTAGCAGTAATGAAGAAGACTAGGGTTCGAAGATATTATTCAAGAAGTATGATTCAGTGAGATATCTTTAAAAAGAGAAAGATAGAGGCGATGAGGAATTCAGGTTGGAATTTGAGAGAACACAATCAATGAATGCACCTGCGCCATTGCATACGGTTTTGAGCCATGCCGTTCAAGGTCTCTAACCATTGGTGACTTTCGTCTCATGGACCGCAACCAGGTAGTTTACATCTACCAACATGACTCAGTCCACTTGTCGTCAGTGACTTCATGGATTTGTGCCATGTTTTGGTTTGGCTGCCCCTAGCTTTCTTCCAACCTACTCCCACACAACAAAACATAGCTCGACGGGGGAGTCGGTGGTTGGGCATATGTAACACATGTCCCAACCACCTCAACTAATGAAGTGTCAATACTTCATCTATTGATTGCCCATCCCTACCTAGTACTCGTTTCCTAACTATAGCATTGCTTAATCGGCTATCCCAGGATATATGAGCAATTCTTTGAAGACGTCTATAATCGAATAAATAATACATGTTTGTACTGATGTTTCTATTAGAAGCTATGTTTAATGGTGTTTAAAAAGCCACTAGAAATTCGTTCAGATTTTGCCCATGTTTTTATTAATTATCTATAATCGTTTTTGTTTCAGAGATATTTTAAACGGTATGAACATGATTTTTCTAAAATAAATAGCAAACAAAAATATCAATAAAAAGTACGGTCTCATTTATTATTATTATCATGATTATTTTCTTTTATCATAGAGAATTATGATAGATACAAATCACCAAAAGAAAACAATATGAAATTTTTATTTTCATCCAAATAGACGTTGATCTAAATCATTATAATCACTATCGAATGTATGCAATCGAACATAGCCTTCTTCTCCACCAGTTGCAAATCTATTGACCACCAAAAAAAAACAGTTAGAAAAGGAGATGAATATGAAACAACAACAACAACACAAAAAGCAACCATAGTGCATAACATTAAAAGCCTAGCAAGAAGCAGTTAACAAACTAAACAAAATTTATATCATGTGTGTGTATGTGCGTGCATTATGTTTCTTTTCAGAGGCTTTGGTCAGTCAGTCAGATACAACGTGCGTACATCAGTCCAAGTTGCCATACCACATTAGCATAGAGAGAAGCAAGTGTCAATTCAAATCCCATACTATTAGATGTAATAGAGAAGTATTAACAGCAATCGGAGAGATTAAGGTTTGAAGAAATTATTCAAAAAGTATAATCCAGCGAGGTAGGTTTAAAAAGTGAAAGTTAAGGGCGATAAGGAATTCAGAAGATTAGGATTTGAGGGTAAACGACATTGAGCCATGTCATTCAAAGTTCATAACTACCAGTTACGACTGTCGCGCGGATCCCATACCTGGCAGATAACCTACACTTACCAAAATGACTCAGTCCAGTTGTCAATGAATTCATGGGTTTGTGACATGTTTTAGTTTGGTCGCCACTACCTTTCTTCTAACCTACTCCCACATCAGATAATATCACTCATCGGGGCAGTCGGTGGTTGAGCATTCGTAGCACATGTCCCAACCATCTGAACTCGTAAAGATGCAGTACCCCACAAAATGATTCGTCATCCTTACCTAGTAGCCTTTTCTTAACAGCAACAATGCTTACTTGGTGGTCCCAGGATATATGAGCAATGCTTCGAAGACACCTATGATCGAATGCTAGCAATCTACGAAAATCCTCTACTCTTACAGACCATGTTTCGCACACGTACGGTAGAATGGAGCGAACTGCTGCACAGTAAACTCATTCTTTGGTTAGAAGACGAATATCTCTCCTTCACCATAAATGACGCAAGTTGGTAAAAGCCAGCCGAGATTTCTTCAGACGCTAGGCCATTAGCACTGATGAGTGAGGTGGTCGACAAGCTCAACTGTTTCACTCTTTGTCACTAGTCCGGGTGCAGATGCAAGTGAATCCTGAAGCAACATTTTGTATTTGGAAGGGGAGGGTTGCATCCAGAATATGCTTGTATTGTTGCTTAAGGTGTTCATAAGACTCAGCACTTTCTGAGAGTCTTTACCAAACAGTACTATGTCAACAAGTGAACCTCCTGGTAGGAAGTCAACTCCTGAAAAGTCAGACCATGAGGGTGTCGTCTCTAGAAGCATGTCAATAACAAAGTCAATACGCTAACTAGTGTGACAAGTAGTTCTAGGCGAGAAATAATAAATTATATAACTATGAACAATACCAGTCTTTAATTAGATAATTGTGTTTGATTTTCTAGGCTTACAGGTTCATTAAAACCTATTTCAACAATAAAACAAGATAAACTTTGGAGGATATCCATCTATACAATAAACATACCCACTGCCATCTGGTGAGAATGCTACACTGTTAACAGGACCAAAATGTCCTTTAACACGACCAAATTCTTCTTCATAAACCAGATGATAAAATCTGACATCGAATTTTCCTTGACCAACCGCAGTTGTTGTTACTTCATGAGCTTCTTGACCACCTCCTAATAAGACCTTCATTTTAGTGAGAAAGAAAAAACAATATGCTTAGATATATTTGAGTGTGACCAATTTGGTCTCGTGTGCTGTTACGGTTATGAGGGCTGATGTCATTTCACGGTTGCCCACGGCATGGAAGGATGTTTCTTGAGGAACCAAGAAACGAACTTAGATTAGGTCCTAACTAACTAGGAGTGTGACCATAGAGCCTAGGTGACAACTACTTCAGACCGGCCCTTTTATGAGTTTTTGAAGTGCTGGCTCCGCTCTTGTTTTCAAGGCCTTATCGCCGTGGACGGAAATCCATGAGGCAAGGTGAGGTGTGACATTTTTAGGGTCAACATTTCCTAACCTCTTCCTTCCTTGTGAGAAGGCAGCATCGCTTCAGATGATGGTTATTCGAGAGAAACACCTTACTGCTGTCAAACCGCTCCCACACCTTCAGTAGCTGCTTTTAGTCTCATCGTTCTCCAATCGACCTGCATGGCATGGTAGCACCTACAGGAACATATGTTCCGGCCAATATAGCTCGGTTGGATCATCACGATATGAACTCTGTAATGCGATTGTTGGATGTTAGATATCAATTATTCATCAGTAAACTAGAGAACATGATTTAATATACCTTAACTTAAACGCAGCATATGACTTTAAATCGTTACGCTAGTCAAGAACAAACCGTTAACAAAGTTCTTATAAAAATATCCAATTGATTTCTGAATACAGAAACAACTGTTAACTAGAATTTAATCCGAACTAGTGTTCTCTATTTTTTTTCTGTTAATTTCATTATTAGTTGGCATAGAATGTTCTTTGAATCAGCCAATAGTAAAAAAAAACACGTCTAAAACCATGACAATCTATATACTATTCTGCTTGAAAAGATAAATTCATGAATGGTGAAAAGCAAGATAATATACAACAGTCTGAACTATTTTTCAGGTCATCAGCGTTAATCTGAAAACAAACTGTTCTGACTAATAAGTTTACAGCTCTTGAGTTCAAGTATCGTTGTCTTTGAAGTGTCATGATTACACTGTGATAATGTACATAACCGGAAGAGATAAAAGACATCCCAGTTAGGTGAGCATACATTGGCTTATCAACATTTCGTGAATAGAATTATAGAGATCTTGCTTATTCAGTGTTTGGAGACAACGTCAGTTATATTTTATGAGTACTTAGTTTTTGAGTATAATTAACATTTGATTAAATTTGAGATGTTATTGTGAGGAAGTTTTGAAAAAAGCACTGTATATATTTATTAAAAAAAATAGTTTTTAAATAATAAAATAATTCACCTACATGATCTTTATCTGGTGAAATAGCAGCGGAATTGATTGGACGTTCAGTAGTATAAGTTCGGATACAGCTTAAATTATAAGCACTGAAAAGCTGGACAAGTGACAAGTACACACACACAAACACAGAAAAAAGTGGATATAATTATAGATATTCAATTTAAAATATATAGTTTGTTGTAAAACTTAACTTTTACTTTACTTGAGCTACCATTAAGAGCTATCTAAGAATGCATTAATGATGAGGCAGATGTACAGGTTCTTATTCTTCTTTCAGAGTCTTACTGCACCATTTAAATGGAAAACATAAAAATGATAGTCAAGAGAAATTCAATTAAGAACACTTGTCTTCCCTTTAAATTTAATATCATACTTGTACTGAAAAAACAACGAGAAGCTACTATTACAACGAGCTACATTTTGTGGTGTAAGGGTATGCTGGAAGCTAGAGTCAGCCAGACCAAAACCTGGCACAAATCCGTGAAGTTACGGACAAGTGAACTGAGCTATGTTGGTAAGCGTAGACTACCTGGTTGAGGTCAGCGAGATGATAGTAACCGATGGTTAGAGACGTTGAATAACATGGCTCAGAATCGTTTGCGATGGCGCAGATGCATCCACCCTTAAGCTTCTCTGAAATTCTAATCTGAATTCCTCATCACCTCTATCTTTCTCTTTCTAAAGTTATCTCACTGAATTAAACTTCTTGAATAACATCTTCGAACCCTAATCTTTTCCATTACTGCTAATATCTCTACTATCGCTCCCACTATTGAATTTGAACTGACAGTTGGGTCTCTGTGCTAAATGTGGCATGGAAACTTGAAATGATGTACGTACGTACGAAGTTATATGTTGTAGTTGACTAACTAACTAACTGCTATTACAATTTCAGATACATGCAACATATATCACACTGGTTATCCATTCTGGCTAGATGAGGTCAAGTATATATACCGCTAAAACCCTGTATGGGTAAATCAATGGGATGCAATTCTGGGATTATAGCTAAAAACAATTGTTGCCAGATTTAACATAGGATTTGGACATTGAAAGTTCTAGAAAGTAATTTAGATAAAATTGGGATAGCATTTATTGAGGTTAAATCGTTATCACTGCTGGGAGCTATGAAGGAAGTTAGAAAGAAAAGATGAGGTTTGATAGTGCAAATAAGAGTGCTGTTTGAAGTATGATGATGATTGCTAACAACGTCGAAAGATCTAGGAACGTGATCACAATGCTCAAGAGACAACTGTCTGAGGCCCGTTACATACGGTCATGAATTAGTTAGTTATTACGGCTGATATTTGCCAACCTTTTTCTTCTTTTGTGGATAGACAGTATCGCTGCAGAAGCTTGTTGCTTGAGTGTCCCATATTACTGCTATCACATCCAGTCCAATAAGCAATTTGAATTCCTTCTCCCATCACATGGTCGCAACTTTTAGTCTTACTGCTGCTCTCAAACCAACTTGGATGTAATGGTAAGATCTAAAGGGATGAACGTTCTAGCTAACATAGATTGGTTGGATCATCACGATATCCAAGCCTGACCGCTGCATTGAGGTAATAGGTAAGAAATTCATTGGTGCTCGGCGAAATATCTTATGTTTATTGGGAAGAAAAGTGTATGTAGTCATACTTCATAAAACTAAACTTACCTTAGCAGTATGATCTTTCGATCCAGTTATGAACATCGGAAGAGTGTGGTGCATTTGCATGTCCGAAATAGATCCTTTATGAGGGGTGATACGCTCGGCAAGTTCTCCAGAACTTAAATCTATCACTGTGATGGCTCCAGATTCATGTCCGCAAATAATATTTCGATTAACTGGACCCCATACAGCTCCAGTCACTTTAGTACCATCTAAAGATTTGGTCTTGAATATACAGGACTTTTTCGACATCTATTGACAAATGAACGAAAAAATGGATCATAGTAAAAAAAACATTGGTTATAAAATTATTTTTAGTCATGTTTAAATAAGATTTTTTTTAATGCAGAAGATACACATAGTTTTACAACAATACGACCGAAAGTGTACCTATTGTTAAAACTTTCTGAAGAGTCGTTTAGAGTTGAAAATTCATTCAAACATATCACTTAAAAGTATTTCCTATGAGCATTATCGTTTTTCTTGGAGTTGCTTTTTTGAATCTGTTTTTAAAGAGTATTCTACTAATTTAGTGATAAATATACACTGATAATTGCACGATAACTGTAAACAGTGGTTTGGGTAAGTTGAGTGACATGCCTAGAATCAATTGTAGTGTTACGGATGCATTAATTTCTTGTCTCCTTTTGAGTTTAAAGCTACAATATTCGTTCTTCTTTATAAACTGTAGCTAACAAGCGAATATCCTCTGGAATACAGTCTTAGTATGCTAGTTCTGTTTTACGACAATGCTATACATACAACAACGAAGCTACAGATACATGGTGTAAATGTAGTCTATCCTTTATATTAACATGATGAGATCAGACAAATGACTGTGGTCGGGTGCTGTATGCACGTTTCGGAGAAGCAGCATATGTCAATGACTCGAGATTCTAGAGTCCGAGCTAAGGATGCCTGTTGTACTATTCAGGACATGGTTCGAGCGCTCAAAGCTCCAACATGTAGTTTGGAGAATGGCTACAGGAGACTAGGAATTACATTTCGTGTACTAAAATCGTTAGAACTAGCGGAGCGAGGTGACAAATATATACGAGGTTTAGTCTTGGAGAAAAGCGTTATTAAGAGGTCTAGGAAGGACTTGATTGTGAGCAAGTTCCTCAAGAGATGGCCTTGAACGGTGTGGGCATCCAGGAAGTGACATCCATCTTTGAACCATGACAAAACAAGAGATTAACTTGTTCACAATCAAATCCTTCCTACACCTCAACCTGAATGGCAAGTTAATATGAGCCCTCTAAATCTTAATGATGTTGAGAAGGCTATGATCAGTCCAGGACGAGGGAATACAGTGAGACCTGATGCACTAATCACTGAGATTTTTAACGATCGATGGACTGAGCTCTTAGGTAGAATCTGGGAACTGGACACAAACCCATCTGACTGGTTTTAACCACTAATTTTCCCGATCTGTAAAAAAGGAAACAAGTCCTCTTGTGACAATCACAGAGGAATAAGTTTAACTAGTATAGTGTTAAAAATATTAACTTCGTGAAGAGCAGACTAGAGAAGACCAGGTTGGCTTTAGACCTGGACGTTGCTGCATAGATCAAATGTCTACAATTCGTCTGGTCCCAGAACAAAGACGAATAAATCGACGTTGGACAGTAGTCATACTACTTGACTTTAAGCCGGCGCTCGAATATGTCGATCGGTTCAATGACAATGTCTGTCATTGAAAGGAGCGCCACAAAAGCACAGTACCCTTATACAAACTCTCTACTCGAACACAAGTGGTCGATTGAGAGCTTATAGCGAACCCTCATTCAAACTGATTACTTCAAGTGGTGTTTTGATATGTAATTCATTCACAAACCTAGTTTCAGTGACTCAACTTTAAACCAAATATTGAACCACAGGATAATGAATACTATTCGACTACTTGAGTCAAAGTAGACTAGGTAGGAGGATATTCGTATTATTAATGAGGACAAGCACCTAGATATCGTAGACCAACATTCAGATCATGGAATGATACATATATCTGCTCGAGAGCTTCTGTCTCTTAGCCCAAGAGTATTATTGACATAGCCATCACAAATAAGTATCCAATTAAGGAAAGAGATCCATTGTATTAATGATAAAAATAAGCTTGTTATAATCTCCAACTCAACTAACAGTTTGGACTGGATTATATACGGCGGTCCCAAAACATGCCAAGAAAAAACTTGTCTCGATTTAAGTGGTGTTTCCTAAATCAAATTTGTGACTAAGAAAGCCTTGATAATAAACGTAATGGACAGTAACAGAACTTTATTTTAAACTTAAAATGTAGCTTGCGGTCATACAAAAACTTGGCACGGATATGGAAGGCTTGGTCGGCTTTTACAAGCTTGTGGCGTATGCGAAACATCTGTCTGCTAACCCAACGAAAACTTCACTGCGAAGCAGTTCGTATCATTCGAATTTTTGGATTTAAAATATGGATATTAGGGAGAGAGATCATCGGTGATGTATTAGTATACGTCCACGAATGTCTTTGACGCGTTGATAATGTATCATAGGACCATTAATTTAGTAGTTTTGGTGTTAGAAAGAGGGTACTACATAAGGATGGCAGATCAGCTGATGAATTAGCGAACCTACATCAGTTGAGGTTTTGTTATGTATGCTCAACCACTGACTACGTGGCATTAGCAGTAGATAACGTCACTGAAAATTGAACTGAACCACGCTAAAAAGTGTAGTCTAGCTGATAGAGGCCTACGAGTCAGTCGTAACCAACAGTTGTGGACCTTGAATAGCAGCTCAAAATCTTTCGAAACGAAACAGATGTACCCGTGCATTGGGTTCTCTTAAATTTCATGATTTGACTAATTTATTTCTGTGAATCGTACACACGACGCCATTGGTGCTGTGACTACCTTTACTACTCCTGGATTTGGCCTTAAAAATGTGTATTACTGTGCAAATGGGGTGTGGTAACGTGACTATATATAAGTAGTTCACAGTGGATGGGTGTCCAATAAAAAAAATCATACTTACATGACTCGAATCCCGCTTATCCAGAGCAATTATTTCACATTCTTTACCTCCAGTGTCATCCGTAGTGAGAAAAATCAAATTTGCACAATATGAGATACCACATGTGCGAACTGGGTTTCCAGTGACGTAAGTGTTCGTGCATTGTCCTAAATGATTCAGATGTCAGTTCATTTACAGGACTTACCTGTTTCTACATCCCAGATCTTACACGACCAGTCAGCAGAAGCAGTTAATAACATGGTGGATGTCCAGTCTATATCAAGACACCAAACAGCACCATCATGCTGATCGTATGTGCCTAATCTTTCTCCATTTACACTGTACCAGACACATACACTTTGATTTTTGGCGGCAGTAAAGATAAGATCTCCATCAAAGTTGTATAATATCCTAGTTATAGGTCTTTCGTGTCCATTGAGAATAATAGGTCGCTAAA